GAGGGGAAAGAAACTCAGAGCATCATGGGGCCCCCCAGCAGCCTTGGCCTCTAGCAGCATAACTAAGGGCTGATCCAGCCCTAACTATAAGCTTTATCAAAAAGGAACGTCTTAAGTCTAATCTTAAAGGTAGAGAGGGTGTCCGCCTCCCCAACTGAGACTGGGAGTTGGTTCCATAGGAGAGGAGCTTGATAGCTAAAGGCTCTGCCTCCCATTCTACTTCTGTGGACTCTAGGAACCACAAGTAAACCTGCACTCTGAGAGCGAAGTGCTCTGTTAGGATGATAAGGCTCTCTGGAGTCTGGCTGCAGCCATTAAACCCTATGAAACACAACAAGAGCCAAGGCTTCTTCCTTTCATGCACGCTTCTGCATGTACTTGTGTGCGAGTACATTCAGATATGCTCCAGCTGATTTGATTCCAAATCTATAACTTCATGATTAGTACCACAGATGGTATGTTGCTCAAATGCAGAGTTCTGCATCATTTCAGCCCACCCAAAGCAACGACTCTAAAGCTCCATACAATTTTCTAATCACCTTAAAAAACAACAGCCAAAAGGAACACTCAGTCACACTGAATAACTTAAACGTGGTACGTCTCTGCCGTCTCCACAGCTCAGATTTTGACAGAGATACATCAGAATATCGTGCCAGTACTGCCTTTACATTTTCGGGAAGGCCATAGTGGCACATCATTCACAACTGTTTGTGTTTGGTACAGCCTGAGCCACAGTCAGCACCTATGTGTAGGATATGAACAGTTCTGTGGCAGAATGGTTGTTCTTAACAACTTCCATCACTTTCTATGTGTACAAACAAGTGCATGTTTGAGAGAAGACTGTCCAAAAGTGTGCACTGCTGTCCCCATTTGACAGGATCTTTGCACCATCTTTGGCTAAAATGGACTGAAAGCTACCCCACTGGCATTTGGACTTGGATTGTTTCATCTTTCTGAATACCATTAAAATATTCACCACAAGAAGAATCTGAAAAATGCTATAATCACATATAAATTCCATGCCTACAATTCTGCAGTAGTAAACCACAAATCATAGCATCTGAAGGCTTTGGACAGTGGTTGGCAATGATGGAAAGCATTGTGACCCAGGGAACACCATTCTGGCTAAGAACTAACCTGAGAACCACTGTTGTGGGGTAGATAGACCAAATGGGCACCGTTTTAATTCTGAAAGTCTCTTAGACTTTTCTAAATATTATATATTTGTTTAGTCACAAATAAAAAGCTATACATGCAAATGAGTTTAAAAAACAAAACAAGATTAGTTTAAACACTTATTCAAGATTCCTGCAGTTAGTCTGTTTATTTATCTGGATTCCCATTACCTTCCACAACAGTGGTTGCTAGTCTTCCTGGGGTCCACTTATTCAATACATAACATAAAATTAAAATTTACACATCATAGTAATTACAATTAAAATTCCATAACACTAAGCATCATAAAAATTACAGTCACTAATTCACTAACCTAAAGGACAGTCAAGCAAATAGTAGAAATTAAATGCAGTTTTAGGTATTTCTTAAATGTAGAAATACTGGCTAATTCTTTGATTCCCTGTTTATTCCATTCAGATGCTGCTCTGAAAATAACTGTGTATTTTAAAACATTGTTTCTGATTTGAGGAGTTCTTAAATTTCCATTTCTTACAGATCATGTTGAATAATTATGAATCTGATCTGGATATTCCAGTAGTTAATTTGTTAACATTACTTAAACTGTAGCAAAGTCTGACTTCGACAGGGAACCAGGACAAGCTGTTGTGCACACCAGTAGATCAAGTATAATATGAACATTTTAACATCAATCTTACTGCCTTATTCTGAATCGTTTGCAGTCTTTCAACATGTTGCTTACTTGCAACAAACGATGTAACAGTGCTGTTACGCATTTATAACATTTTTTATTATCATTCAAGAGTAACAACAGTAAAACTACATTATTGATTGCACGGTCAAGGACCACCTCAAACGCCTTCACGGACCACCAATGGTTTAAAACCCAAGTCTATCAACATCTTTTCTATCAAACAGTGTTTAGTAGGGTTCTGCTTTATCAGATTAACACAGTACAACCAAAGAACCCCTCTCTAGTACCAAACTGACTGATCAAACAGAACTTCAACAGATTAATGAACACAATTCTGTGAAATTAAGTTATTGCAACAAACAAAATGATCAGAGAACCAACAGCCTGTCTTGCATTTGACAGTTTATGGTTAGTCAGAGGTTCTTTGTAATACATTTTTGGCCTTTAGACAAGAGGCTCTGTTACTGTAAGCCACAACAACTCTGTGATAAGAAATTTTTTTTTGCTGACTTCAAAACCTGCATCCAAGATAAAGGTTAAGTCTCCCTAATTTATTCTGGAGCATTCACTGTTTTACAGCAGCAATTACTGTTCACTGAGCATTCACTGTTTTACAGCAGCAATTAAACTTAACACTGACCCTGCAAAGAGGCTGTCAAGCAAGCAATTACAGGTCAGCTTCCAGTGTTTACCCACTCTGAATGTCGTATTAATTGTATTACATATGATCCGGGAGTGCAGATGCTTGTGGGTCAGAGCTTTTCTGTCAAGTATAGGAGCCATTAATTTTTCTTTCCCCGACTTATACTGTTGGTAATTATCTAAGAGGAAAAACACAGGGTTAGGTTACATGGTAGCAAACAGCGTTCCCACATGTCCTGCAGCTGAGGCCTGTTAACATGTGTCCAGTACTCAGAAACGGAGCATGTGGAACAATTTGTAAATGCATTAGATTTGAAGATTTGTTATTCAAAAATGAATTACAAATAGCCTCACTGACTTATCTAAACCAATGAATTCCAGTTCCTGTTTCTGAGTCACGTTAGATTAAAGAGAACAAGGTAAGAGGCAACACCTGTTAATACATATTTCCCTTCCTTTGTAGGAATGGTTCACAGATGACTGTAAGTTCAGGGAGCGGTTCCAAGAGAACAGCTACAACACTTACGCCTCAGTGATCCACAGGAACCACAGGACTGGTCGCGAGTGGTTCGTGGCCCTCAATAAGAGAGGGAAAGCTAAAATGGGTTCCAGCCCCCGGGTCAAGTCCCAGCATGTCTCTACTCACTTCTTGCCCAGGGTCAGTCTGCACGATAGGAGTGAGAGAGGCTTCACCATCGCAGACAGACGCAAAGAGAGGAGGAAAACCCCACCGCCCAAAACACCTCTCACAAAGGCTAACATTCATGCAGGAACAGCACCGAGGCGTACCCAGATCAAGTACTGGCCCAAGTACCGGTTTGGATAGAGGTCACAGGGTTGGGCTCCATCTTGGGAATACAAGGTTCATCTACAGTAGAGATATAAGTCATAGACGTGCCCGAAAAACCAACAGTGGCTATATATCACACTGAAATCATTCCAGGTATATTTGGAAAGTGTGAAAACCTCAAAGGGCTGCCAGGCACAACGACGGAGCTCACATTTGTGAGCTGTCCTTCCACTTGAATTGATGATGCTCTGCTCTGTTTGTGTACATGGTGAACTTTGGCAGAAAGTCAGACGCTGTTAAAACTGATCATCATAGCTTTCTGTATATTCTTGGTTAATCAGCTGAAAAGAAAATGCTCCATGTAATGTCCTCCTTCATCTGTTAGCAAGGAAAAACCATTATGCAAACGGAGACCGTAAGCGGGAGGTGGATATGTAGTTTTTGCTAAAAATGGGGTTGTCTGAATTTTATGGGAACACAGGGGAGGGTCTTCTGTTTTATTCTCACCAGATTATTTTTTTCCTTGTAATATATATTTTTAAAGGTCAAAGTTGAAAGAGGTGGAATTAATTTATGAGTGTCTCATAAAAGTGTCTTTCCATAGACAAAAGTTAACAATTACTTACTTTGATCAACAATAGAACTCACCTTAATTTTAACCTCAGTAGATTCTAGAGGCCAGGGCTCTTTCTAATACAAGTACTTATTAATGCTGTTGGGGACGTTTTTGCATATTTAGTGAAACAACATTTATATTTAGTTTTACATTAAAGTAAAATGGGACGACAGATTTTGTAAACAAAGTTATGTCAGAGTTCACTTATGCCATGTGTGACAGCTCTGGTTTGAACAGAATTAATAAAGCATTTTGTTATAAATGCAGCTCAGTGTGCAATTTGAAAAGTTAAATTACATAGATGCCAGTTGAAATAAATGTTATTTCTAAATACATCTAAAATTAGGAGCCAATTAAGAGTTCAAAACATAGCAAACTGACAGAAAGTCCACCCACGCCGCAACATCTAACGACACCCTATCACGCAGACAACAACAATATGATAGCAAACCAAGAACTGGTTTATAGATTTCGGTGTTGACACTGAACAAAAATTATATGGCAAGTGCATATGCTCTCTTTTGGTTAGATAAATGCAGTTTTTAGTCACTGTCGAAACCACATGAAAAACTCTCTTTCAAAACTGGCTTGGAAAGTGCTTCAAACATGGCTCCTGCCTGAACATACAAACCGACCAACTGTCCCTTCCCTAACACCAGATTTGTGATAATCAACATGAAAACAAGGACTGGTTCTCTGGAGACCCCCTCCCCCCTCCCGGACAGCTGTGAGGGATCACAGAGAAAACTATCCATCAGAACTATCATTTTAGCAACCGGCTGTCCCCCAGAAAATCCAGAGTCACGACCTCACGGGACAAGTGTGCACAGCTATCGTTGCAGGGATACGCACAGTACGCCAAGAAATAATGAACCCATGTTTTGGGGAAGATTCAATCTGTAAGTGTATCAGATGGCCGTAGATTGGCCAGGTAGGAGCATATGAATCAGAATCAGCTTCTGCCCGAGAGCCTGAACTACAGATTAAATGCTGGCTGTGCTGTAAATGTTTGATATAGCTGAGTCTGGGGTACATTTTGCTGAACTTTACTTTGGCCATATTCCACTGCCACAACCCTGTCTATTAACAAGTGGAAAAAATGTTTCATGTACACAATAACACAGCCCAAGTGATTTACAAATGTGGTAAGAATTAGTCCAAGTTCTTGATAAAACAGGCAATTTGTTGTGTAACCTACAGGCTCGGGCAGGCTTCAGGTCTGGTTATTTTCAAGTGTTTTTATCATGATATTTCTTTTTCTCTCTCTCTGGCTATGCTAATAATCTGCTTTCATATGTGCCAGCAGAACAGAAATTGAGATGAGGTGGAGACAGAGTGTAGCCAACAGTCAGTGACGGATGAAATAAAGCAAAACTACACAGCAGCTTCGTGTCTGAGGCCGAGTGAGGATCTCAAATTTGGCAGCACCAGTTGCTGTCAGCTGAGTCAAGTCTGCAAGATGTGGCTACAGCCCAGGCTCAGGTCTCAACTCTGAGCCCCTGAACTCGCTACGACTTCATTTGCCAAAATAATACTCACAATGACAGAAAAACATGGGAGTATCAGCTCGTAAGAGAATAATGGTAAAGAAATAAAAAACATGAAATAAAACATTATTTTAAAACTTTTCTAGAGCTATAGCAAAAGTGACTCCATACATCCATCTTCATCCACTTTATCTGAGACTGGGTTGCGGGGGCAGTAGTCCAAGCAGAGCACCCCAGACTTCCCTCTCTCCCCACACACCTCCTCTAGCTCCTCAGGAGGAACCCCAAGGCATTCCCAGGCCAGCCAGGAGACATAGTCTCTCCAGCGTGTCCTGGTACTGCCCTGAGGCCTTCTCCCGGGGGAAAATGCCTGAAATACCTCATTCAGGGGGCATCCTAAACAGGTGCCCGAGCCACCTCAACTGGTTCCGCTCAACGGACTCCCTAGTTCTTTAATAACTGTGGCTAACAGTTGACAGAAACCCTTAGACTGTAGCTATGTGTGCATCTTTTAATTCTCTTCTCATACACACCTCAAAGAAATATTTTTGTACCAGAAATCTTTTTATAAAAACCTAGGTATTAAGAACAGTTTTTATGTTGACTATTAAAAAATAAACATGTCAGTGGGTATTTATATATATATTATGTTGTACTCTATGAAAATGCAGCATGTGGTTATTTGCTGCACAATGCCAAATATGTGTTGGATCAGTTTTAAGAGACAGCCTTCTACAGTGGAAGATTTGATTACTTTGCAGTCTGTAACTGTTAAAAAAAAAGACATCAGTGATGAAATATGAGTATTATATAACTCAGTGAAATCCTAAAGAGAAAGGTTTGGTCACAGAAAGAGTCCAGGATCACCGTGGCCGACTAATGAAAGACAGGTGTGTGTGTATGTGTGTGCTGACAGGACTGTGGCGGCTGACGTTCTCCAAACCCTCTGAGGTCATGACTTTACTTTAGTCTAAAACGAGGGCTGATTTCTGACCTCCATTCTCCATCTTCTTTTAGACAGGAGTGAGACCCCCTCCCCCAAACACTAATGATTCTCCAATTATCCTTATTAATAGTTTGTGTCACTAGGCTGCTATCAGCTGTATGGATGTGCACCACTTCTTTGACAGCATTTTATCATCCAGCATGGCTCTGACTATAATTATTGTATAGACACATCCTCTACAAATAATATTAGACATAACATAGAAACTATGTCATAAATCGCTAACTGTGAACCCTGTCATGTGACATTGTGCTGCGCCAAAGCTGCCTTAGAGTCGGGACTCACTGGCCAGCTAACGTTAGCTTTGGACTGGAGGCTACTTTTTGTTTAGTTTCTCACATCTGTAGTTCACGCTGTAGCAAAATAGGACGGGAGGGACAAAAGGTGTTAAGGAGTGGTTTCTGGTGTGAGTTTGTTTTGAGACTCACAGCTGCTGAAAAGAAATCCAGTAAAGTACCTTTAAATTTGGAAAACCTTTTTCAAAATTTGTATTTTTTTTAAATAGTACTGGGAACATATTTGTTAAATAAATGATGACATCCTGCAGATTTCAGCCCAAAAGCACAACCACTGAAAAGTGACAGGCCGTCTGAAAATACTCGACGTCCTGCCCACAACCACATAATGTACCATACCACTAACTAGCTACATAGAAGCTGTATGAGCTTTAGGAACACGTTTGTTGCACTATTAACACAATTTTTCACCAAAATATCCATATGCATTTAGCCAAAACAACAGCTTGAACAATACTTCAAATACAGGTATGTAGCAATGTCAAACAAGTTTAAATTAGTTTCTAAAACATTTTTATTTTATCCAGGCCATGTTGTTTGTTTTGAGCACTATCATGGCATAGCACTCTCACATTCTTACACATATACAATCAGTTGCACTGTGACTTACTTATTCCAAGGAGCTACAGCAAGAAGAATGATTCAAATTCATGCACCACTTAGATGGTAGGGAGACTAACCCCCAAAAGAGTTATTGACTGGCTTAATGGAAGCCCAATCAGCAGGAGTTCCAGAACCACAGTGGCTCTTCCTGCGCCTTCACTCCAGAGAGGAGTAATCACTTCCTGAAAAGTTAGAAACACATCCTCCATTACATGTGATTTATCATTTCCTGGGCAACCTACGTTCACAGCCATTTTCCCAAAGTTTTGTGACTTTACAATATATCACAACAGTTTGACCTTTCTACTGTAAATCTCCCAAGACCACCAAAACATATGTTTACATTTTGTGTGAAACAGAAACCTAATCACTGATGTGATGCTAATCCAGATGCATGAACATTCTATCCACTGCTCCCCCTGTTCCACTCACAGCACTACAGTAGGTGACCTGTATTACATTTTGATGCACTAAGGCACAAGAATTTACATTGCCTACACTGATCACCCATAACATTATGGCCACTGGCAGGTGAAGTGAATAACACTGACTATTTGTTACAGTGGCACCTGTCAGTGTGTGGGGTATATTAGGCAGCAACATTCAGTCCTCAAAGTTGATGTGTTGGAAGCAGAAAAAATGGGCAAGTGTAAGAATCTGAGTAGCTTTGACAAGGGCCACAGACTCAGAGAGGGGTGGCACATTTGAAATACATGCAAAAATGAAATTAAATCCCTAGTTCTATAAAATAATAAACCACATATTATTAAGAATCTACTTGTCTATTCTGTGTAAAAATGAGACACACAGTGCTTTCTTTAGCTAACTTTGGCTGCGCTCCTTATGTCCTCTCAGCAGGAGACATTGCTGCTGTACAGTACCCCACCCAGAGGCGACCCATGCCAAGTAGCCTACTCCACAACAACACAATCTTAGAAAGGAATGCAAATATCATGCTGCATGTGTGATATATAATAAAACTCATTTGACCAATAGCAGTTATACAGCACCACAAAAATGTTTCTTTTATTTAATGCAACATATTTTTTTTATCATTGCTTTTTATTTTTCACTCATTAATACTGACAAACATCACATTTTGACTGGTGGTCAATCAGGCTCGAGCACTGGTATGTTTCTTCTTGTTTTGCTTTTGTGATAAAACCACAGTAATGTTTAATTGTGGCATGGTAAGTCAGAAAGAAAAGACTCACAAACTCAACAAACTAATTAGATTAGCCAATTTGCTAACACTGTCTTACTGGTCACAGGATCAAATATGAATTTACTGACAAACCCCTGAGCAAAGGTTTTTTTTATTGCTTACAAAATTTACTTTTCATTTCAGTCTCTCTCCAAAGTGCATGAGCAAATGTATTTGTCTGGCTACACTTTGAAACCACAGTCTACACAGTGTACATTTGTTTTTGTGAGAAAAGCATTATAAAATCCTGACATTTAACATTACAAACAACAGAAACAGCAGTAGACAAACAGCAAAAATCTTACTAGCTTTACTGGGCTTGCCTTTCTCACAACAGAAATTTGACTCATCATAGCAGGAAAAGCACAGGTATTACTAATAATGGTATTAATGGTGGCATTTTATTCAAGTACTCCAGTAAGCTACAACACAGTCAATACCAATGAAATTCAGAGATTATCTACATATGTTCTATCTGGTATTTGCAGCTATTCAAAAGATTAGTTCACCTTTGAGTCCTCGGTTTGGAGTCCTTTGTTTTTGTAACATGACATGACCGCTTTGTTGGATACAGAAATTAGTTCATTTTCAACCGTCCTTAGTTTTTTTTACTCTTACTGTTATGTGATGCATTTATTTTTATTATAAATTAGCTTTTTATTTCCTACAGACTATAATTTTGTGAATATCTGTCAATATGGTTCTTTTCCATAACCCTGAATGTTTTAATAAAGAGTTGGTTAATAAACTTCATCAGGGAAAATCTTTCTGTATACTATACAGAAGACGGCACGGCACGGCTTAGCTTAGGACGTTAGTGACAAAAGACCAAACGAATTTGACCAAAAATATCAGGAGGTGAGGTGATGAAGTAACAGACTGCATAGCCTCAAGACACAGGTACCATATTACTTATAATATGACCTTGGCTGCATTACAGTTCTTTCTTATTCGAAACGTGATTAATATGTGCGGAAGTAGATGGGGAATTAACATGTAACATTTTAATTACATTCTGCTGATGTGAACGAAATGACTCGTAAAAAAGATTCGTTCATTTTGCTGAACGGAATTCAAAGAACCGAATCAGTAAAATGATCCGAACTTCCCATCGCTACTTCCAAACACAGGTAAGGCGGGCGGTTGCCATAGCTGCCTTTTACAACACAGACATCGGGAAAATGGAGTACGGCACGGCAGCTCTGACACGGTTTAAAGTCTACGAAGATTATCTCGACTCCAAAGTGACGCCAATGGATTTATTTTACTTAAAAGTAAGTTACTCTGGTACAACCCATTGACTTGATCCTTCCGTGAAGTGTTTATCTGCCGACATGCCCCGGTTTCGTTCTGTTTTCTACACGCTACGTCAGAACCGCATAAACTAAGCTGTCAGTTTAAGGTTATCTTTGCTAGTATGCAAGTGTGCATGCTACTAAAGCATCGATTTAGACTTTTCAGAATCACCGAAATGTTCTCTTAGATACGGCATGTACCAAATTCTCCATCCAGCTCATTTTACACAATACATTATCACTTGTTTCAGATCCTTTGCTATTAAGACAGCAGCCAGCTAGCTAGGGTTGTCCTAGCGTAATGTCAAGTAGCTTATGGAAGAAACACGATTTTACAAGTCAGCTTTTATTAATTATGTGACATTTAATAAGCTAATCATATACGCCGTATCGAACACTGTATTTTTAAAATGGTTAGATTGGTTTAATAAATGTTTTATGACTTTAGCCTTTCTTGTTTGTGAACTTTATAACACGAATCCCAAAATTTTGGAGGGAATCTGGTTGTCTTTAGTTGCGCTCAAAACGACGTGTATAGTGCCTACTTTACATAAACATAGTCTTTCAAAAGTATATAAGTAAGCACTTAAAATGCTTGTTGTTTTTGACAGTTTCCTTAGGATGCACTAACGTTTGCTGCACAAAAGCTGGCCCAAGTTTAGTTTGTGTGCAGTGACTGTGGCCGCACGCTGGGTGGCAGTCACACACAGGGTTGGAAAAGAGCTTTGAGTGTAGAAGCTGTCACCAGTCATTCAGTATTTGCTTCACTCAGTTAAACAGATTCAAAACAGCAGAGACAACAAATCTGATCCCGGGCTCATTCTTCCCTTAAAAGCACAGATTTAATTTTAAAAAATCGATCCATACATTATGAGAAATAAGCTTTGTGGAGTTCACATCTTCAGCAGAGGGACCCCGAATCACATGGAGATTTTCTTTGAAGTAAATATCTCCAAGGTTTTGGTTGTAAATGTATTCTAACTAACACAAATAATTTTAAATAGGCTTGAATTAAACTTGCTCAACAGAAATGGACAGTCCTGCTTTTGCCCAGAAGGTGGCACACCTGCTAATGATATCCCTAGCTGCTGCTGTGGCCACTTTGTTTGAACACCTGTGTCTATACAGGGAAGTGAACCACTCATATATCTGATAATCAGCTGCAGTCACTCACTATCAAACTCAATCACCCCACTGCTGTGACACAACATGGCTAGCACAGGTCATCTAACCTGTGCAGCCGTGCTGATAAGGCTGAAGTTCTGATAAATCGGCTAATTATAAACCTATTTTTCCTAGGTTATCTTCTTTAGGACCTGCCAGAAACTATGACTATATACAAGGAAACCTGAAGTAGCTAAGGATGTTTTATTACCAATTCACTCCTTCCTTGGCTATAGATGTTGTTCTGGAGTCCAGGTCCAGGTGTGTCAACTGGAAGCAGCATTCTTCTTTAAAATGAAGACAAAGATTTTCAGGCCAGTTTTAAGACCGGTAAATGTCCGAGAATCTGGTGAGCCACATCAGAGTAGAAGGAAAATATAACTCTTCCTCTGGTGTGGATGCAGACTGGGACTCTGGGTAGGAGGACATGTGTCCGAAGATTTGATCTGACAAGCTGCAGGATTTGACAGCAAGATTTGGCTTTTAGATGATGACTTTATGGCTCACTTTTAATGATCTGAGCCTGCAAATGGCTGTGTTATTCCATTAACTAACAATCCCAGCAGAGGCCCTCGCACATGCACACTTACTATAGAAAATGAATGAACATGAAATCACATTATACCCACAAAACTACACTATAATGAAGCTTGTAGTGTTGCTGAGCAGGCCATCACTTCCATGTTCTAAGGAGGAAAGTAAAAATTTTTTAACAATCTGAAATTTTTGTGGCTGACAACGCTCCAGATTTTTTCCTTTATTAGTTCCACATGCGGGGGAAATTTCTCACTGATGGTGGTGCTGTCTGACCACCAGGGGCAACTTGGGGTTCAGTGTTTTGCCCAAAGATACTTCAACATGTAGACTGCAGGGACCAGGAATCAAACCACCAACCCTTTGGGTGGGAGACAACAACGCTACCCCTGAGCCACAGTTACCTCCAGGTTGCATTTATACTAATAGTAGTTGCCCTCCTAAAGTGGTCTCAGTTCAACCAGGTCACAGTATTGACAGCTTACTATGCCAAAATTAAAGGCAGACAACCTCTGACAAACTCCAGCCCTGCAGGCCGTGTCCCTGTCTCCTTGACTGACTCCTCTCCTTTTCTTGTCTCTTGCAGAGCAGGGAGTTTGCCCGTAAGCTGGTGGAGCACGGCCACAAGGGCATGGTCCTGAGCAGGGAGGAATTTGAGGAGAAGAAAGCAGCTGCACAGGCTGCTGAGGCTGCAGAGAGCAGTGTTTTCTACAGCAGGAGCCGACGAGTGTGAGTTAACCTCTCTCCAAGCCACCACACTCACTGAGCTAGTGTCTGCCTAACAGGAGACAAAGTCAGTGAAACACTAGACTGTCAAGAAAATTAACGTGTTTAATGTCTGAATGTGGTCAGTTCATTTTGTATTTTGATTTTCAAGTGTGGTTATGAGAAGAAAAAAAGACTTTCCTGCACAGTGTCCGTCTTCTCATGATCCTCAGTGTTTTCTCTAGAATTAGTTTGTTGTGGTGGAACCTGGGAGCTCCCTGTGCAGTAGTTAGTTAGCTGTTTGACTGTTAACAGTATAACTCTCAAAAAATAATGAACAGATCTTGATGACATTTTCTGAAGAGGTAGGGTATGGCGTATGGAGCAATTGATTAGATCTTGGTGCTGATCCATATCTTAATTTGGGTACATCCATCCATCCATCCATTATCTATGCTGCTTATCCTGAAGCGGGTCACGGGGGGCTTGAGCCAGTCCCAGCCGACACTGGGCAAGAGGTGGGGTCCACCTCGGACAGGTCACCAGTCAATCACAGGTAATTTGGATACAGGAATATTTTAAAATATTATTCACCATTGTGAGTGCGCAGCAATCTAGTAAAGGCAATCTACCTGGTGGATCAACATCAGGCAGAATAGGCCCACGTACAAGCATATACGTTTACAGAAGAGTGAATACCTGAAAATAGTTTAAGCATTGTTTTGCCTAGCTGCAGTAGCAGGCTATCTGAATGGACACCTGGTTAAGTTTGTCAGCAGCCTTGTGACCCTGAAGGACTAACTCCCTGAAGTGTGAGCTACATTTTTAGCACGGTGTACAGTATACAGCATTTCATTCTTGAAATCTTTGCCTTTCTTCCTGTGTTTTTGAGGCAAGATTTCTGTTTCCCTGAAATGAGCAGCAGCAGCGGTATCTAAAGGAAAATGTGTGATGCATTTTTGGCTGAAGTTCTGCGCTGCTAATCAAAGCATGACGGGTCATAAAAACTGATAAAACTTTATAGTTTTGTCTTGTCCAGCAGCAGTTTGAGCAGCTTATATGATCCTTTTTTCATTGCATTTTACAAAAAACAGGAAAAATCATCAAGTCCTGCTCCTGCATCAACTGGGTTTTTATTTGAACAAGGTCTGCCCATCTGTCTGAATTCAAATGAAATGGTTAACATAAACAAGCTGAATGACTAAACTACAAACCGGAGCCCTCTATAAACTGCCCCTCCCGAGGAACCTGATCACACAGATATTGTTCTCATTCTTAATAAAGCCCTGTGGTTGTGGTATCTCTTTTGATGACAAGCCAGAACAGACTCCAAATAAGACACACACAGGAGTATCCAAACATTTACCTGCAAGGTGTTAAATTTGACTGAACCCTCAGATGGTTATCCAAATGTGCAGATGTCTCGCCGTTGCCCCCACCTCGTCCTTCCAAATGTCTATGAACATCAGTGACACTGGTGAAATGGGAGCCTCCACACCTGCAGTTACAGTGATATTACACCACAAAGCCTTTCATCTTGTCCCAACAGGATCTGGGGAAATGTACGGGAACATTGGGATGTTATATACACAGCAGTTTGTTCTGTTTCCAAGATCTACATCCACCTAGAGACTGTTTCAAAGGCTGTGATCTGAAATGTGTCTGTGTGTCCTGACTTTGTTTAGAAAACAGGATTAGATGCTCCACGTTGACAACATCCTCTCAGATTGGCTTTAAATGGATACTCCTCAGAAAACCTCCCCTTTGAATGTCAGAAGGTTTGAAGGGTGGCCCTGAAAAGTGTGTAGCTTGATCCTTTTTGATCACTGGAAGACGTGAAGGTTGGCGTTAGCAAAGTTCTTGAGACGTGAGAAGGTTTTACATAAGAACAAAGGTGTCAAAAGAAGTGTTGTTTTTCAGGTACAGTATCCACACTAGTGTCAAAACCTTCTCCAAGTGGAGGTATGGTTATGTGAGCAAAGTGTGGGTAAAGAGGACATTTCACCTGCTGTTTGGATCATTGGGCCAATGCCAACAACCTGTGAGCAACTTTAAGATTTTTTTATATACAACTTTTTAACTGCTTTCTTTTCTTTCCCACACTTGGAAATTTTACATCTTGCAAAAAAACTTTGACAAGGCAGAAGAAGACAACACAACCAAATTTTTTCCCCTCCCAACAGAAGTGGCGAGTCTGAGCTGCGTTCTCCTCCCTGTACGTTGGTGTTTTTCTGATTGGACTACCACCATTCTCCTCCCTGTACGCAGGCTGTTCCTTCCTTGGTGTTTTTCTGATTGGACTACCACCAAACTGACCCCATGACCTTCTGTGATGATTGCATTGTGAAAACACAGGCCCCCGGGATGCAATGTACCACCTGCAAAGTGGCTGAGTACAACCAGCACAGTGTTCTGAAAAGCCAGTGTTGCCACAAAACCGCAGCTGTAGAGTGAACAAACTCAATCTAGTTGTTTATCAGCGAGCAAAAAAAACAACAACCATCCATCCAAAAAAAGTGATGCGCTTATTTGGGCCTGTTTTCAACAAATGATCATCTTTGTTTCCCTAAAGGATCTGCACCTGCGTACGTCTCCCCTCTTGGCACTGGGTAGCCATGCTGTTTTGGGAAAGCCTTTTCCTTCTCTATAGGCCTCAACCTATGTGTCTCAGGGTGTGTCTTTTTTCACCGCTCTGTCACTGCTTTGTTTTTTTTCCCCCCTTCCTTTCTCTTCTTTTCAACCTCCCCGTGCTTTCTTGGAGACCTTTAGTGCCTGCAGGTGTATAAATAGAGCTGTTTTAAATTAAGGGCTAAGCTCGCCTGTAGCGTGCATCTGATCAGTGAATGCCCCTGCACCTGTGGTAGTAAAATACCAAGGGAGTGGAGATAGTGCTGTGAATGCTAATCAGATGTTGCCTCGTCTCATTCTTAAGGACAACACGCTCCACCTGACAGCTCGCTTAGGAAGGAAACACAAAACAGACACAAGTGAAATTCAATACACGATTAAAAAGGAAACTTGAATGCTTGAACCCATGGGATGCTTAATCAGTTGTGTGCTTTCTTTGGTTAGGCAGAAGCTGAATGTGTTGTCAGAGTCAACAGAAGGTTGGGGCGGAAAAAAAGGAGCCGGGTTCTCATAGCTGGTTTAAATTTTGGATCTGATTCCAAGCAGTCCTCTTCAGTCTTATATTTTGTGTAAAACATTCAGGTCGTTGTTATCTAACTGGCAAATATGTAGTTTAACTGGTGAAACACTGGTTTTAGTTGGTTGAGTTTTAGCCATCAACTTCAAATTATTTTTTTATTTTTGTTAGTTAAAATGTTGAAAGCAGAATATGAACAGATCTGATTAGGTTGCATTGGACTAGTGGATTCATCCATCCATTCACCCATCCTTTTCAGTGCAAACACACATCAATATTAGTAATCTGCTCTTGGATAAGAGTAGACAGACAAGAAGAGCAGAGGAGTGCTGCTGAGCAGACATGAGGCCTTCTGCTATGTCCTCTCTGCTCCAGCTCTGGTTCGGGTCCAGAAGTCCATATCATCATACATCCTGACCTCACGTGCTCACGGCGGCTCTGTGAGGCTTCCATTGGGCTCCCCGCAATGTCCCTACAGCCCAGACCACAGTGATGCTCATTGTCCTTTGTGCTGCAGCATTTTTACAGCCTGCCTGAAGAATTCTTCGCTCTCTGACTCTCTACTTTATATTAAAAGTGAGCTATCACTGGCTGTGCCAAGAAATACTAGTGCCACAAACATGTACAGTGAATACATTTCACTGCAGATCCAACCTCCAGCTGCTTAGTGAAAATAAGATAATGGATAGAACTGACAGGAGACGCCTCACAAAGCTGATTCCAGGTTCATTTTTATCAAGCCAAACCCCTACTGCTCTCCACGGCTGCTGCTCTGATGAGGGCCCTCAGGCGGCCAGGTCTTGTAGTCTCTGTTACATGTGCTGTCAAGCCAATTGCTTCTTGTGATGTTGGAGTTCTCTTCTGCAAGACTGAGCCAGAGACACACATCCTGACGCCCCCCCACCAATTTTCATATTGCAGTATATTACATACAGTATAGTGCACTCAGGAATGTATCATGTCTTCGTTAGACAAATTTCCTCTTCTTTCATCCTGTAGACATTTATAATGGCACTAGACCACTGTCTCACAGTGGATATTTTCACTTGTACCTCTCATATCCTGCACTGTCTTTGATGTTTGATCCTGTGTGAGAGAAAGTGACTTATTGCCCACACATATAGTTCCTACCATCAGACTACCAAGACACATGGTCATCTTCTTGGTACTTCCTGAGGCAAGATCTGGAGGACAAGGGCCCTAGTTTATAGTTTAATTATTGTCACCTTGTTTTAATTGATGTTTGAATGTAAGCATAGCTTGGTAGCTGTGGACAAAAAAGCTTTGACAGTTCAGGTGTTGCATTTCTATGGACCGTACTGTTACCATGTGCAAACAGACTTCGGGGATGAGGGCTTGTTGTTTCATTATAGGACTTACTGTACATTAGCGCAGCTTGTCTTTTCCAAAACGCGGACGCTTTGTAGCTCTACTGAAATCTGTACATGAACATGAATCTGAATCGTTACCATCTTTCAGTCTTTCTCTGTCTGGACTACAGTATCCATGACTGAATACAGACGAGTTCTACTGCATGTTCCCAAAATGGAATAAATCTAATTTTGCCTCATTTAGAACTCAGTATGAAAAAGATGACAGTGATTTGATCCACACTGAAAAACATGCACTTCCAAGACAGGCAGTGCACGATGTGCAGCCTCACTACCTCCAAAAGCCAAGGTGGCCACAAAACACAAAGAAAACTCAGGTATTCATGCATTGCACATGTGTAACCGATACATTCAGTTCATTGTAATCAGAGGTGACAGAGGATTTTAGAAAAAGCCCAAAATAAAGTAAATTGTCATGCTGTGTGGAATTTCCCCTGACGTCCACCAGCCCAAAATAATATTTTCCATAAGATTCATTTTCTCAAGCT